TCTGGAAAGATGACCACCTGGGCATGTGGCTCTGACCATTCAGATTATCTCTCTGGATAAGCCCCGTGAGTTTTCTAGGAGCCAAGATCTGCATTAAGGGCCCCAGTTTTTCCAACCTTGCCAGGGGAGAGAGCAGGCACAGAATTCATTTTCTCTGGGATCCAGCAGGTGATGTGGTGATTAAGGTGCTGGACTCCCACACTGCTGATCACGGTTCAAGTCCTGGACCTGGTGGCTTGCTTTCTCACTTTCCCTCCTTCTCTAATTCTGTCTCTTTCTGGTAAGCACATGTGCCTTATAGGAAAAAAATAAAATTAAGTAATAAATAAAATTAAATAAGTAAGAATTATTAAAAAAAAAAATTCTCTCTGGTACTCAGTGAGAGGCAGAGGAAAAGGCTTGCCTCGCTCAGAGCCTCAGAACAGAGATTTAAAACCTCTTGTCGAGGGACCAGCAGTTAGCGTGATGGCAATGTTGCTGGACTCCGATATAGTCAACTGTGGTTCAAGTCCCGGACCCAGTCAGTGACTTAAACTCATGCCAGGTGCATGTGCATGTGTGCCCAAGATCCCGAGAGGAGAAAGGAGGAGAAGGGATTGCGGCGTGGCTACCACCACCCCACCACCCCCCGTGGGGTGATTTCTCGCTTTCTATCACTCTGTCTTTTTGGCAAGCACACATGCCCTATAGCAAAAACCTCTCTAAATAAATAAATAAATAAATCCTCTTGTCTCATGAGGTCAAACAACCAGCAGAAGCCTGCAGACTCCCTTGGAAAGGGGCTGTGCTAATGATCTGGATTGCTTTTGGTTCTTGTACCCTGCAGGAACCCATGGAGGGGAGGGCTTTTCTCATCTCTGTAGGTTTCCAACTTGGGCTCTGCCAGACTATGGTAATATACTCCTTGCAGGGCCTTCATTACTCCCTCTTCTGCCGCTTCCCAGAGATCCGGATGAACTGAACCTTGCAGACACTTAGGGAGTGTAGTCTCTCAGAAGGAAAAACGCAGCCTCATCCAAGAAAGCCCAAGTTGAAAAACTGGAATAAAACCCTACTAAGGTAAAAGTAATGGAAGAAATGGAAGAGAACTTTAACAGACAATTCAGAAAATGAGCTTTGAGTACATAAATAATCTTTGGAACTTAAAAAAAAACTTCATAGTTTCTAAATATATAACAGTTCAGTAAACAAACTGAGGAAAAGGAAAGGGAAAACAAAAGTGTTCACTGCTGAGTTCTAGAAAAGCAAGTGGAAGAAATAGCTTAAAACTCAGACTAGAAGAACCAGCAAATGGCATAATGGTCCCATCACTGGACTCCCACATGGTCAACCATGTTTTGAGTCCTGGACCCAGCAGCTTGAAACTCATGCCTGATGCATGTGGATGCATCCCAAAATCCCAAGAGGAGAATAGAGGAGAAGGGATTGTGGTATGGCCATCCCCCTATAGGAGTGATTTCTTGGTTTCTGTCTTTCTGTCTCTCTCTGTCTCTCTGGTGAGCACACACACCCTATAGCAAAAATCTCTCTTAAAAAATAATAATAATTAAGACCAGAAACACAAAGATGATAATTGTGAAGGGTATAAAAACGAGGCATCTAAGAGTCCTAACATGCAAATAATAGCAGTTCCAGAAAGAGAATACATTGTTGAAGAACTATTTCTTGAGTTGGAGAAAAAAAAAAAAAAACCTGAATCTGCAAATAAAAGAGCTCACCAAGTCTGCAGCAGGGTTAGTGGAAGCCAGCAGGGAAACTTAAGCCTGGATATATACTGCTGAAATTCGGATATTCGGATATTTAAGGTTAAAAAGAAAATACTACAAGCTATCAAAACAAGTTATTTTCAAAGAAAACAATTACATTAGTATCAGGCTTCTCATCAGATCCCTAAAAGCCTTAAGACTAGGGGAAAAAAATTATTACAGGTTACTGAAAAAAATTATAAACTGAAATTCTATATGAACAAGATATTGTCCAATCTTTTCAGGTTTGTAATGATTCAAAGGGGGGAAAAATATCCGGATGAAGTAGATATTCACTTATGACTGAATTGTAGAAAATGTGGGATTAAATATGATTAGGAATAAAACCGTAACAAGTGGCACAATTAGAAAAGAGATCCTCAAAATTCTGAGGGAGAAAGGAAAAATAAAAAGAAATGTGAACCAGCCCTCAATGTTAGCAAAAAAGGGAGCCAGCAAGTGGCATAGAGATTATAGCAATGGACTCCCATATGTCCAACCGTGATGCAAGTCCTGGACCCAGCAGCTTGAAAATCACCCCGGTCACATGTGCATGTGTGCCCAAAATCCCAAGAGGAGAATTGGAAGAAAAGGAATTGTGGCATGGCCACTCCCCTGGTGGGTTATTTCTCACTTTTCCTCTCACCGTCTCACACATGCCTTACGGAAAAAATAAAAACCTTTTAAAAAGTTAACAAAAGAGGAAAGAAACAATAGCTAATAAATGGTAATGTAAAGAGTACCCATAAACCAAGCTAATGAATCGGATTCTAATAAACACCGTGACTGTCTCAGATTGCCTGGACAGGTTCTGTTTTACGCTGTTTCCAAGATATACCTGTCGTAAAGGAATGATTTGGGCAGCAAATAAAAGAAAACAAGGAGCAATCACTTTCACAATAGAGATTTCTTTTTTCTTCACACACGAAACCGCAGGCCCAAGCCAGGCCGTTGCTGGGGTTGATGCAGTTACCCGATTCAGGAGCCCAGACTCTGTTCCTCTCTGTCTGTCCTCCTACACCATCTTGGCGTGTTTGCCTTCATCCAGCGAGTGTTCCTTACCGTCTCCGAGTCTCAAGCTTCAGACGTCATTTATCTACATTGGAAAAGGGAGGCCTGACAACTAGCCCTGCCGCCCCTTTATGGAAAGTAAACACTTGCAGAGGAAACCCCAGGAGACCTGCTGACGTCTCACGGGACAGCACGTTGATACCTGGTCACTTCCAGCGAGAGGCCTGAAAGGGAAGAATTTAGCCTATTTCTTTCTTCCTTTCTTTTTTTTAAAGGATTATTTTATCTAACTTTATGTATTCTTATTTATTTATTTTTTTAATTTGACCGGAGAGGGACAGAGTGAGAGGGAAAATGAGAAAGCAAGTTGCCAGGTCCGCGACTTGAACTGCAGTCAGCCATGTGGGAGTCCAACCCCCTTTACCACCATGCCACCTGCTGCCCCCTGGGGTAACTTTGAAGCCCAAAAAATCTCTGTCTAGATTGGCACCTTTGCTTGCTCCTAGTTAGTATTTAATCCAGTGCCTGGGGTGTGATGTCTCTGGCATCCCAGAGACCCTCATCCCATCAAGTGTGTGTTGGTGCTATCTGCGGCCTCCGGTTGGAGCAGTGCTTCTCAACCGCGGATGATTTTGCTCCCCAGGGAATGTTTGCCACTCTCTGGAGACTTTTTTTTAGGTTTATTTATTTCCTTCATCAGAGAGAGGGAAAGACAGGCACACCTGACAGGGTGCCGACACTGACCCTTCCCAGCCCTGCAGCCAGCCGAGATCACAGGCAAGCCTGGGCCCGACGTGATGGGGTCACCCTGGGACGCGAACCCGGAGCCTTCCTAGCGATCTCCAGCATCCCACAGCAGCGTCCTGACTGCTGGTACCACCACTGCTGGGCTTCCACTGCTGGGGAAAGAGCTGCCCTGGCATTTAGTGAGCAGAGACCAGGGAGGCTGTTGGACATCCGTCTCTGTCCCAGACAGCCACAGGGCTAAGGGGGATCCGGCCCAGAATGGCCTTGGCGCTAAGGCTGAGAAGCCTTGCTCTGAGTACCCAATGGGCTTGTGAGCTCCTGGCGAAAGTCTTCCCTCCCAGAGCCGTGGCCCACCAGGTCCCAGAGGTGGGGACAGTACTGTCGAAGGCCTCTGCAGTGACTTTCCCTGCAATAGCCCTTGAAAACTGGGGTGAGCTTTGAACAGCCGCCTTGGAGAGCAGCATAGCTCCACCCGAATCATGTCACGGGCAGTTCCAGGAGACATTCCCAAGGCTCCCAAAGGAGGAAAAAGCCGGTGAGGTCACAGCAAAAGGACACAGGAACTGCTGTTTGCTGCAGAGGGGAAAACCAGGGGACGGGTAATCAGGAGGTTACTAGATGGTTCTTAGAGCGGAGCTCAGAAAGGTGCCCTCTGCTTGCCATTGCCCACACACTGGTTCAGGTCCTACGTGTGAGCCCCGTCACCAGGGACCCCTGCATTGTGATGGCCACGTTGATCTTTCCCACAAGCCCTGTGACGTGTGAAGGGTGAAACGGCCCATGTCTCTGGTTTTTTGTTTTTTGTTTTTGTTTTTGAGAAGTTTTTGCTATAAGGCGAGTGCACTCACCAGAGAGGCAGAAAGTGAGAAATCACCTCCCCAGGGAGGATGGCCATGCCTCAATCCCTTCTCCATTCTCCTCTCGGGATCTTGGGCACGCACGCGCACGCGCCCGGCATGAGTTTAAGCCACTGGGTCAGGGACTCGAACCGCAGTTGACCCCATGGGAGTCCAGCGACCTAGCCACTATGCCAACTGCTGGTTCCAAAATAATTATTTTTTAAATTACTTCTTTTGCCTATGAGCAAGAGAGAGAAAACTCCCCCAACCAAGTTTTTCACCCGTGATCCGCCTTCAGCTTCAGCAAACCCAGAACCTCCCTGTGTATGTCCGCCTCACGGAGCAGGAATTATTGCTATACCAGTCTCCAGCCATTCGGCTTTTGTTTTTATTTTTAAATGAAAGGTTAAATTCCTGGGAGTAAGAGAAACATTGTTCCAGTAAACAAGATCATTGGCAAGCCTCAGAAACCTAGCCTGGTGTGCCGAGGGCAGGGGTGTCTGGGAGGCAGAGGGAAAGTCTTTGGGCTCCCTGTTAACACCGAGGTGCAGGGGACGGGAAGCCTTAGGTTGCTGTATTCCAGGCTGTGTTGACGTTTCTTTTGAGAATATGATCTTCTTCCAACCTGACAATGATTTTTTTTTTTCTCTTTCCTCAGGGTGACCAGAGGCAGGTCATTCCCATACCAAGTGTATGTATATTTATCCAATTTTATTGAAGCATTCATAGACTCTTGTGGCTATGGGGCCAACTAACGTGAAATATTTCTAAAATGTTTGTATGCTGAGTTGGATCATGTGCTATAAGCAGCTGTGGAAAAGAGAGGATTACGGACGCTGTGGTTCTGGAGACCCGCTGAGCACATGCGCACGAGTGCGGGCCCAAAACCCTGACAAGTGAGGGAGAAGGGGGAAGGGACTGTGGCGTGTCTGTCCCCATGCCAGGTGCTTTCTCCTCTCCCTCTCTCTGTCTCGCTGTCTCTCTCTGGGAAGCATACATACCCTCTAGCAAAAAGAAAGATGAAGCTACATTTTAAACTGTGAGCAGGAAGTTCTGTGCGGAACCAGCTTTCTTTCTCAAAAACAGAAAGGGGGACCAGCAGTTAGTGTAATAGCTCTGGACTCCCATGTAATCGAGCGCGGTTCGAGTCTCAGACCCGGTGGCTTAAAACTCACACCGGGTGCGTGTACATGCATGCCCAAGATCCCGAGAGGAGAATGGAGGAGAAGGGATTGTGGTGTGACCATCCCCCCTTGGGGGTGATTTCTCACTTTCTGTCTCTCTGTCTTTCTGGCGAGCGCTCACGCTCTATAGCAAAAAAACAAACAAACAAACAAACAAACAAAAAAACCAGAAAGACAGTTGGCATCGATTAACCAAATTCTCTCACTTTTTTTTCCCTCTAGGAAGGGTCCCCATGTCTTAATAAGCAGAGACATGTCTTAATAGCTTGCCCCAACGCTCACCTAGCTCATCAGCCCCATCTGCACAGATTAAGGGGAATCACACTTTTGCTCAGACGCGATTCTTTGCAGCAGGTCACCAGGCTCGCCAGGCTCAGGTCCTAGGCGACCAGACCCATTCTGACGTGTTCAGGAGTGGCAGCAGCGTGGCTATAGCTGGGAGAGAGAAACCACCCATGTGTATGTCCTGGACCTGGAGGGCCCACTGTGCCCTGCCGGCCAGCTCTGCTAGAACCCTGCTCTAGCTGGACGTTACTCCTTTGCCCACCCCCACCCCACCCCCCGTTGGAAGAGCAGCTGTACTGGTGTCCCATCCCCCTCGGGTCTAGGTCGGCAACCCCTCATGTGTCTGCTGTACCCACTGGTCCTTCTCTGCCTCCTCCTGCCAGCAGAGGCTTTGGCAAACTGATGACTGGCTCCTGAGAGAAGCTTACAGTCAGGAGGTCTACTGGACGAGACCTGCGGGCTGGCCCCATAGCTTAGTGGTTAAGAGAGCCAGATCCCACATGGCTGACTGTAGTTCAAGTCCCAGCTTCGGCAGCTTTAAAAATACAGTGTGTGAGTGTGTGGGAAGCAATGGTGGCTTGACTGTACCCCATCGGGGGTGCTTTCTCCCCACTCCTCACCCCTGCTGTCTCTTCCTCTCTCTCCGCCTCTCCTTATGTCTCTGACAAGCAACGTTTCCAACAGTCCTCTGTCCTTAAAGAAGAATTTAGGTTTCAAAACATGTCCAGAAATAGATAATGATGATAAAGATGGTCAGATTACCTGACTCAGCTCTGTTTATCTTTTTTTGGATTCTTCTACATGTTTTCTGGGAGCATACAAGAGCCACAGCAATCTTACAGTAAAAGGAATGAAGGGCCAGCCAGCGGTGTGGTGGTTACGGTGTCCGGATACCACATAGCCAGCTTCATGGTTCAGATCCCAGAAGGGATTGCAGTAGGGCCATACCCCTGGTGGGTAATTTCTTGCTTCCTGGCAAGCACACATTCCCTATAAGCAAAAATCTTTCTCAAAAAACAAAATATATAGGGCTGGTAGGTGGCATGGTGGTTAAGGGCACTGGATTCTCAAATGGCCGATCATGGTTCAAGTCCCAGAACTGGTGGCTTGTTTTCTCACTCTCTCTCTCTCTCTCTCTCTCTCTCTGCACCTCTCTGGTCAAATTAAAAATAAATAAATACAGCTACAATAAAATAAATAAAGTAATTCTTGAAAAAATTATACATACACACACACACACTCACACATACACACTGAAAAGCTGACCGTATTTCCTAGTGATTAAGGGAGCTGAATCCCACATGGCCATCCACAATTCGAATCCCATCCCCAGTGGCTTGGAAAACACATCACGTGCATGTGCATGACCCATATCCTGATAGGATGAAGAAACGGAGGACAAGAGATTGCAGCATGACCATTCCCCACTGGGGGTGCCACCTTACTCACTCACTCTCTCTCTCTCTCTCTCTCTGGCAAACATGGGTGCCCTCTGGCAATTCAAATAAACAAAAACACCCAGTGAGGAAACTGACCCTTTCTCGACAAATCTAGACTCAGCCACATGCGGAGTTCTGGAATAAAATAGATAAGAAAAAGCTTCCTTGTTATCTATCCCAGTGTCCGATCAGTGAACTGTTCCTGTCTCTTACACGTGAGACGCTGGGTCTTGCAGAAGAGCAGCCTCGCTAACGTAACCTCAGTTCTGGCGTGGTAGCCTTCAGGAAAACAGCTCCCTGATAGACACAGTGTGGTCTTCGCTGCCTACTTAGCCTGCAGACCGATGGCCAGATGATAGCCAGACCAGCCTCAGGGTTCAAGTCCCCGCAGTTCCTGTCAGATGGTCCACACTCACCTGTCCAGGTCTGAGTACATGAACAGAGAGGTCTTAGCCTTTTTGGCCCCTGGGTGATCTGTTCAGTCTGGAGCTTGTCATTCGCCACCAGACTAGAAATCCAGGGTGAGCCGAGCCTCTGAGCCAGGTCCGGCCACCTCCTGAGGGCTTTCTGCAGGCCCTGAAGGTGAAGGTACCCCTGAGATTGTTGGGGCCCAGAACAGCTCCAGCCAGAGTCCCCAGCTCTGCTTTTCACCTCACCCCTCTTTTTTCTTTATTTTTTAAGAGGTTTAAGACAGTGAGGGGGGGGCCGGCAGATGGCACGGTAGTTAGGAGTGCTGGACTCCCAGATGGCCGACCGTGGTTCGAGTCCCAGACCTGATGGCTTCTTTCTATCCTTCCCTTTCCCTCTCTCTTTGGTCAAATGAAAAATAAATACATAAAGTGTTAAAAAATTATTTAACTTTATTTATAAAGTTAAATAACCACGCCACCTGCCACTTTTAACAAGATTCCTTGAACATTTTCCCAAATATGGGTGCATCCACACCTCCCCCGTTCTTTTCTGTATCAGTGGTGGCATGTAGTTTGTTTTCACTCTGCGCTATTAGAACACTTCCTTTAAGAATATCCTTTGCGGGACCAGCAGTTGGCGTAATGGCTATATCGCTGGACTCCCATGTAGCCGACCGTGGTTCGAGTCCCGGACCCAGTGGCTTAAGCTCCCACTGGGCACGTGTACGTGCGTGCCCAAGATCCCGAGAGGAGAATGGAGGAGAAGGGACTGTGGCGTGGCCATCCCCCCTGAGGGTGATTTCTCGCTTTCTGTCTCTCTGTCTCTCTCTGTCTGTCTGGCGAGCGCACGCGCCCTATAGCAAAAACCTCTCCAAAAGAAGAAGAAGAAGAAAAAAAAAAAAAAGAATATCCTTTGCTTGTGTGTTTATGGGAGTGTGTGACAGCTTTGTGTGATTGGGACCTACCTGGAAATGCTAGGTTAAAGGATACACTTACTTCGTTGGTACATTAAAGCAAACTGACCTTCAAAAGCCTGTGCTAGCTTACATTCCCCCATAGAGTCTGTGCCATTGCTCCATTCCCATGCTGAAGTGGTTATCAGGTACCTCATCTGTTGCTAATCCAGAAGTAAAGAATAATATCGATGAACTGCTTCGATTTACATCTCCTTGTAATGATTGCTCATGGGCGCGTGGGCTTGCTACAGAGAGAGAGGGAGAAAGCATCCTTTCCACGGGCCTGGGCATGCCACAATCCCTTCTGCGTTTCTCCAGCCTGTTGCGATTTGGAGCACACATGTCCGGCGTGTTTTTCAACCATGCAGGATCCAGCTCCCTGAACCACTAGGCCGCGGAGCTGCCCCACCCCAGGGTCATTTATTGAGGAATCATTTTTTGCACGTCTGTTGAAAATGGCGTCAGTCAGGACTGTTCACCTTCACGTAGTAAGGCTGTCTCCCAACAGTGGGCTGGGACTTACGGCCTTCCTTACTGGGAAGTTTCTCTTTTTCTTTTTCTTAATAAAAGTCAGATGGTGAAGGGTAGAGAAAAGATACAGAGGGACAGAAAGTTTAGACACCACTCAAGTGCGGGTGTTCATGGCTTGAGGTGAACTCTCAAATGCTCTGGCATGAGGAGTGCCACTCAGTGGCCTGAGTCCTCCCAGGCTCACACCCTCGCTCAAATCACGCCCTTCTGGTGCTCATGAACACGAGGTTGGCAGTGCCGGCGAGCCATAAAAATGCAGCGAAGAATTTGTTTTCTACCTGTTATGTTTCTGTGCTATTTGCCTAAGACTTTTCATAAAGCTATCGTCTACTTTTGTCAGCTAAACTGTCACGAAGAATATGTAAGCAGAACTACTCTAGTTCAAACCAGCGGAATCAGCCTTGTGCCCCTGCTGCGTTAAGCCCCGTGAACTCTGATACTCGGGAAGCACAGTGTGCCCGAGAAATCCTAAGAAAACAATAATCTGGGCCCCGCTGACTCCCACACGGAGTCCAGAGTCCCTGGACTCGACTCCCACATGGGCAACCACGGTTCAAAAACCAGACCTGGTGGCTTGAAAATCACACCAGGCACTTGTGCGTGTGCGCCATGAGGTCCTGGGAAGAGAATGGAGAAGGGATTGCCATCGCCCCAGGGGGTGATTTCTCACTTTCCCTCTCACTCTCTGGCTGTCTCTCCCCTCTGCCCCAGCAAGCCAGCACACCCTAAGGCAAAAGAAAAGAAAAAAAAAGCAATAATCCTGTGTACCCAGGAGAGGGACTAAATCCGTTAGATTTCTGATCCGTGTAGTGGATGCCCCAGAGGAAATAGCTTAGTGCTAACTGTTCATGGCTGCCAGCTTATCGCCAGGCACAGGAAGTCTCAGATTCACTCCCAGGAAACCACTGGAATGAATGCCCTTCCCAGACCTTGGAGAGCAAGCCGGTCCCTCCCTCCTGCCCGCCCCCATGCCCCTGGGGTGCTCTCTGTGCCTCTGAGCTAGGGGTTCTGCATTGAAAAGACCCTTCTTAACATCACTGGGGGTTCCCTCCTTGAACTTGATGATAGCCTGAGAGAAAATGTAGTTGAGGACCTTTTTTTTTTTTTTTAGTTAATGATTCAAGTATCAACTAAATTAACAAAGCCCTACTGCGACAAGGACACAGCTGACCAGAAGAATTCTCACCAGTAGACTGAAGGATTTGCATTAGGATTTGTGGAAGCTGTGAGCATCAGGAAATGGGTGGGGACCCATGGAACCCTCCCAGCTCACTGCTCCCCAGGCTGGCCTTGTTCTGTAGGTCACAAAGAAAAAAATCAATAGCGTGTTTAGTGCGACTCTCACCCTTCTCGATCTTTCCTCTCCTAAGGAGCACAGCGAAGTTTTTACTTACTGTTTACTCAGAGAATGCTCCAAAAGAGTGGGTTAAACATGCTAAGAAAGCAGATTTCATTCTTGGGTTTGGAAAATAACGGAGCCACGTTGGCAGATCTCTGATGCCCTCAAATATGCTAGGATAGAATTCCTAGACCCTTACTTTCCAAGCTTGCGATTAATAAGTTAAAGTGTTTTATTAGTATATAAATGTACAGAGGATAAATTGGATAGGTAAAACTCTGAACGGAAAGAGGAAGACAGAAAATTATTCTTACATCTCTATATTCTTTGCAGGGAGAATGGGATTTTATTACATAATGGTGTGATAAGATTAAATTAAAACCAGTGTTGCCCTGGTCACCAATATCCTCTTTGTTGCAGTCCAAACAGCAGAAAGAACCCAAGGCATGAGACTAGCAATTAGCGTAATGGCTATGTCGCTGGACTCCCATGTAGCCGACCGCAGTTTGAGTCCTGGACCCGGTGGCTTAAACTCACACCGGGTGCGTGTGCGTGTGTGCCCAAGATCCCGAGAGGAGAATGGAGGAGAAGGGATTGTGGCGTGGCCTTCCCCCCTGGGGGGTGATTTCTTGCTTTCTGTCTCTCTCTGTCTTTCCGGCAAGCGCATGCGCCCTATAACAAAAACCTCTAAAAAATAACAAAGCATAGCATTCCCGTGCCTACTACTGCTCACTAGGGAGACCCTGTAGAGTTAGAAGAGCTTGTGCTCTCACACAGGCTCTACCTGGGCAGCCCTGGACAGCCCCTCTCTGCCGGGTGATCATCGTATTTGCAGATTTACCTGACCTGCTGACTGACTGCATTCCATTCACCATAAAACCAGCTAAAGGCCAGAATTAACTTATTAAAAAAATAATTATTTATTTGGGGGCCAGTAGGTGGCATAGTTGAGGTGCGAGACTCCCACATGGCTGACCATGGTTCAAGTCCCAGACCCAGGTGGTTTGCTTTCTCACTTTCTTTTTCTTTCTCTCACTCATCAAATTAAAAAATAATAATAAATAAGATCTTATTTATTATTATTATTTTCAATTTGCTATAGGAAGTATGAGCTCACCAGAGAGAGAGAAAGAAAGACAGAAAGTGAGAAAGCAAGCCACTAGGTCCGGGATTCGAACCACTGTCGACCATGTGGGAGTCCAGTGCCTTAAGCACCATGCCACCTGCTAGCCTCCAGAATTAACTTTTTGATCATTGAAAAAATTCAGTTTAGACCAAAAAAGAAAAAAGATAGAAATCGTCACTTAAATACTTCCTAATTTCTTTTTTTTTTTTCCTTCTTGCTTTAGTTGCTAAATTAAACAGTCTGTTCTTCAGTGACCAGGAATATTTTCTCGTGTTTTGTTTTCTATTCAGTATTGAACAGAGCTTGACCTCCTTGCAGGCCAGCAAACTAATTAGTCAACATGGAACATTGACTAGGCCACAGAGTAAACTAAAATACATCAAATTATTTCTGGAATGAGGCAAGAGCCAAAGAAGTAAATACTCTAAGTTGATTGACGTTGGCTGAAGATAGCTGGCATTTTATTAACACTTTACGAATTCTTTATCACGAGATTAGAGTCAGCTACTGCAAAGGCAGATAGATTTTCTGGCTAACACACAGCCTGTGGGTTAATGTGTAACTTCCAGAGACAAAGCCAAGGGCTGAAAGCACCGTATTCACTTGTTCTTTTATTTTTTTTTTTTTAAGAATTATTTCTTTAATTTTACTTATTCATTCATTTACTTTAATTTGACCAGAGAGAGATACACAGAGAGAGAGAAGGGAAGTGAGAAAGCAAGCCACCAGGTCCGGGACTCGAACTGTGGTTGGCCATGTGGGAGTGTCCAGCGCCCTAACCACCACGCCACTCGTTCTTACAGTATACCACAGTGCCACAGGCACCAGGCAAGCGCTGTGCCCAGACCACTCTTCTTTCTGTTCCCAGTACTGGGGATAACTTTGGATTGTACTTTGCTGATGGCTCGTTCTATAGTTTCTCTTCAAGAGTTGGAAAATGTTTGTCACTAAAAAACAAAAGCAGAAAAAAACGATGGTTCCAAGCATAGTTTTAAAGTGTCCTTCCATGCCACAGTGCACATGGCAAAATCCAACCCCGGGAAACAGGCCTGCACTGAGTTATCACACCTAAACCTCATCCTCGTGTAATTGTTCTCATGGTAGTAGCCACCACGAATGTGCCAGGCGCAGTGCTGGGCGTTTTGCTGCCGTTTCAACCACTAGCAACCCTTTGTCGTAGGTATTATTATTCCAGTTGTGGCCAAGAAAGTGACAGAGTTGGTATTCAAACACCAGTTTGTCTGGTTCAGAATCTAGGGGTTTTTTTTTTTT